GGGTAGTTGTAGTTGTACTCACCTAGTTTGGGCAGGGGGTAGCTGTAGTTGTACTCACCTGGGCAGGGGGTAGATGTAGTTGTACTCACCTAGTTTGGGCAGGGGGTAGCTGTAGTTGTACTCACCTGGGCAGGGGGTAGATGTAGTTGTACTCACCTGGGCAGGGGGTAGATGTAGTTGTACTCACCTAGTTTGGGCAGGGGGTAGCTGTAGTTGTACTCACCAAGTTTGGGCAGGGGGTAGCTGTAGTTGTACTCACCTAGTTTGGGCAGGGGGTAGCTGTAGTTGTACTCACCTAGTTTAGGCAGGGGGTAGATGTAGTTGTACTCACCTAGTTTGGGCAGGGGGTAGATGTAGTTGTACTCACCTGGGCAGGGGGTAGCTGTAGTTGTACTCACCTAGTTTGGGCAGGGGGTAGATGTTGTTGTACTCACCTAGTTTGGGCAGGGGGTAGCTGTAGTTGTACTCACCTAGTTTAGGCAGGGGGTAGATGTAGTTGTACTCACCTGGGCAGGGGGTAGCTGTAGTTGTACTCACCAAGTTTGGGCAGGGGGTAGCTGTAGTTGTACTCACCTAGTTTAGGCAGGGGGTAGCTGTAGTTGTACTCACCTGGGCAGGGGGTAGATGTAGTTGTACTCACCTAGTTTGGGCAGGGGGTAGCTGTAGTTGTACTCACCTAGTTTGGCCAGGGGGTAGATGTAGTTGTACTCACCTGGGCAGGGGGTAGATGTAGTTGTACTCACCTAGTTTGGGCAGGGGGTAGCTGTAGTTGTACTCACCTAGTTTGGGCAGGGGGTAGCTGTAGTTGTACTCACCTGGGCAGGGGGTAGCTGTAGTTGTACTCACCTAGTTTGGGCAGGGGGTAGCTGTAGTTGTACTCACCTAGTTTGGGCAGGGGGTAGCTGTAGTTGTACTCACCTAGTTTGGGCAGGGGGTAGCTGTAGTTGTACTCACCTAGTTTGGGCAGGGGGTAGATGTAGTTGTACTCACCTAGTTTGGGCAGGGGGTAGCTGTAGTTGTACTCACCAAGTTTGGCCAGGGGGTAGCTGTAGTTGTACTCACCTGGGCAGGGGGTAGCTGTAGTTGTACTCACCTGGGCAGGGGGTAGATGTAGTTGTACTCACCTAGTTTGGGCAGGGGGTAGCTGTAGTTGTACTCACCTGGGCAGGGGGTAGCTGTAGTTGTACTCACCTGGGCAGGGGGTAGCTGTAGTTGTACTCACCTAGTTTGGGCAGGGGGTAGCTGTAGTTGTACTCACCAAGTTTGGGCAGGGGGTAGTTGTAGTTGTACTCACCTAGTTTGGGCAGGGGGTAGCTGTAGTTGTACTCACCTAGTTTGGGCAGGGGGTAGATGTAGTTGTACTCACCTAGTTTAGGCAGGGGGTAGCTGTAGTTGTACTCACCTAGTTTGGGCAGGGGGTAGTTGTAGTTGTACTCACCTAGTTTGGGCAGGGGGTAGATGTAGTTGTACTCACCTGGGCAGGGGGTAGATGTAGTTGTACTCACCTAGTTTGGGCAGGGGGTAGCTGTAGTTGTACTCACCTAGTTTAGGCAGGGGGTAGATGTTGTTGTACTCACCTAGTTTGGGCAGGGGGTAGATGTAGTTGTACTCACCTAGTTTGGGCAGGGGGTAGCTGTAGTTGTACTCACCTGGCCAGGGGGTAGATGTAGTTGTACTCACCTAGTTTGGGCAGGGGGTAGCTGTAGTTGTACTCACCTGGCCAGGGGGTAGCTGTAGTTGTACTCACCTAGTTTGGGCAGGGGGTAGCTGTAGTTGTACTCACCTGGGCAGGGGGTAGCTGTAGTTGTACTCACCTGGGCAGGGGGTAGCTGTAGTTGTACTCACCTAGTTTGGGCAGGGGGTAGCTGTAGTTGTACTCACCTGGGCAGGGGGTAGATGTAGTTGTACTCACCTAGTTTGGGCAGGGGGTAGCTGTAGTTGTACTCACCTAGTTTGGGCAGGGGGTAGCTGTAGTTGTACTCACCTAGTTTGGGCAGGGGGTAGCTGTAGTTGTACTCACCTGGGCAGGGGGTAGATGTAGTTGTACTCACCTAGTTTGGGCAGGGGGTAGCTGTAGTTGTACTCACCTAGTTTGGGCAGGGGGTAGATGTAGTTGTACTCACCTAGTTTGGGCAGGGGGTAGCTGTAGTTGTACTCACCTAGTTTGGGCAGAGGGTAGCTGTAGTTGTACTCACCTAGTTTGGGCAGGGGGTAGCTGTAGTTGTACTCACCTAGTTTCGGCAGAGGGTAGCTGTAGTTGTACTCACCAAGTTTGGGCAGGGGGTAGCTGTAGTTGTACTCACCTAGTTTGGGCAGGGGGTAGATGTAGTTGTACTCACCTCGTTTGGGCAGGGGGTAGATGTAGTTGTACTCACCTAGTTTGGCCAGGGGGTAGCTGTAGTTGTACTCACCTGGGCAGGGGGTAGCTGTAGTTGTACTCACCTAGTTTGGGCAGGGGGTAGTTGTAGTTGTACTCACCTGGGCAGGGGGTAGATGTAGT